CCCCCGGTCGCGCTCCTCCTGAGCAGCGGCGCGGTGCGACCCAACACCGCGCCGCCTTCCTCCCGGGCCGCTATGGCTGGAGGGTGCGCCCCCGCACACCCCCGAAGCGACCCGTAGGGGAGAGGGGCGACCGGTGGAGGCGGAGAATTCCGCCCGGCACCGACCCCCCCCGACGCCGGCCTGATGTTCGGCCGGCGCCGTGGCCCCGGTCTAGGTGGTCAGACCGGGGCCCTCTCCGCCGGCCGGGTCCCGGAATGACTCCCCGGGGTCCGCCGGCACGCCTTCCGTAGGGGGGCGAACTGAGCCGGCCGCGTTCGGCGGTCGACCCCTGCGATGCCCCGGCTGCCTTCCGCCCGCCGGAGCACCGCCCCCCATTGGGCACTCGGGACCACCCACTCGGTGGCCCGAGTCCCTGCCATCCTCAGAGTACACCGCGCAGGCCGCACTCCCTGCGCAGTCCCGCGCGATGTGCCTCGCCCGGCCACACCGGTAACAGAGCCCACTCCGGTCAATTGACGCGGAGCAGGCCGCCCGAATGTGGCCGAGCCTCCAGCACTTGTGGCACTGGAGCGGGCGAGCCGCGAGCATTTCCACCCGCGCACCCGCCCACCCCAGCGCCACCCTTCCTTCCCTGGCCACCATCACGGAAGACCCCAGGGGGAGACGGGCCCAAGCTGTCCCGAACCCCCCCCCCAGCCGCGCCGGATGGGGCCCACTCGGACCTCCGTAGGCCCGCAATTACCGCGGGCCGCGAGAGCTCCGGCAATCTCCTCGGGGAGGACCGACTCGTCAATACCGACGAGCCGGACCTCCCCATGCCTTCTAGGTCTCGTGACCGAGACACCGGGGAGCGCCGCCCTGACCTTATCGGCCAGGTCGTCGGCTCCCCGGTCCCTTCCTTCCCTGTCTGGGCCCGCCAGCCCCAGGAGGAGGCCGCCATTCGCGGCTCTCCTCACAAAGGCCGGACGGACCCCCACTCCCTGGAGGGGGACCTCCCGCACCCTGCGGATAGCCTCCGCGTACGAGAGACCCCCCTCCATGCGCACTGCCACTACCGCCGTCGTCGGTGGCGCCGGCGGCACCCGGGACACCGCCAGGCGCCCCCCTTTCTCCCGATTTGGGGCCCCTTCTTCTTCTTCCGCCCGCCCCACCCGCCGCGACCCAGCCGCGACCCCCCACCGGAGACGCGACCCGCGCGGCGGACACGGCGGGTCCCGATTCCGCCGCTGCCAACCCAGAGGTCCGCACACGTAGCGGAGACGTCGCCCAATCCCGTACATCGGGCCTCACCTCCGGGAAGGGGGATACCGCACGGTCAACCTGCTCCCTCCTTTCGCTCCTCCCATCTTGAACCCCGTTCTCTATCTCCATCCTCCCATCTGCCTTTTCCCTCTCCCATCCACTTCTCTCCATGTTCCACTCTTGCTCTTTCCTTGCCATTTCCTCCTTCAACATTTCTTCCCGCTTCTTGCCCCTTCTCCTACTTTCTTCCAGCATTTCCTCCCTTTCCTGTATACATTTCCCAAGCCGCTCCGTTCTTTTGAGGTAAGCATTTACCGTATCTTCAAAATATGAGAGCATGTTGCCCACATTTTCCGTGATGTAGTCCTTTTCCCTTTTACTCATTCTCTTGCTTTTGTTCGTTGCATCCCCAATGAACTCTACAATTTCCCGTGACCACTCAAGACGCTCGAATACCATGCTCTTGTATTTGTCCTCGCACTGAGGGTCTATCCACACTTTTCCCTCCTCCTCCGTCCCCTTCACGATCTCTTCCTTGTCCTTCTCTATTTTCCTTTTCTTGTATCCTCGTTCCCTATCCTCTTCTCCTGCATCCCCCCTCCCCGCGGCGGTAGCCAAGGAGACCGACGCGCCCGCCGTTGACGCGCCAGCCCCGTCACCCTCGTCCGGCCCATCGTCCGTTGACGACCCGGGGGTGCCTGGGACCATAGCCCCCCCGTGCCGGTGCGACATACCCGATCTGCCGCCGATCTTTCCTTTTTGGTGTTCCATCATATCAAAAATGGGGGGCATGACGGCGGCCCCCCAACCCGGGCGGCTTTTCGGGCCGCCCCCTAGGGCGGTTTGGCTCAACGGAGCCTCAGGAGCCCGCCCTGCCCCCGCTGTGGATCCCCGGTGAAGTATTCACCGAGGATCTTACTACTCCCGGGCGCAGCTGCCCACCCGGGAGGCCGGTTGCCGTACTGACATAAGGGACCCGACTGCCCCCGCGGTGAGGTCGGTTCACCCGCACCGGCTGCCCTAAGGACAGCCGGGCGCGCTCGCCTCCCTCTGAAACTCTCGGGCGCCGCTGCCCACCCGAGAGACCGGTACCACACTGGCATAAGGGATCCGGTACGCTCCCCTGCTGTAGGCGCCATTGGGCTTCCCTCCCTCTATGAAGCGAGAAGGAGGGGAGCCCTCCGGCTCCTAATACTCATGGGCGCAGCAACCCACCCATGAGGGCCTTTTAGTCGTCTTTTACGACACGCAGGCCATACGTTGGGGGTATTCTTTACGTCCGCCACCCACACGGACAGTTCGAGGAGCACACTATCAACATTAACATGTTATGTCATTAACATATCTGTCTTTATCGTTCGTTAGATGTACACTCGTGATCAGAAAGGTTGTCCATTTTTTTTTTTTTTTTTTTTTAA